CTGAATCGCACACTGTCTGATGTGGGCCTGGAGGCTGCAGTGCCAGAACTACACACAACCAACAGGAACTGGGGGTGGGGGGTGGAAATGACTTGGATTCAAGGGGGTAGAGAGGTCTGTGCCCTGTGTGACCTGGCCCCATCTGCAGCAGACCAGTGCAGGGCACAGCCCTCCCTGCTCAGGCTGGATAGGATCAATTAGCATCTTCCCGTCCCTTCCCCTTCCCCCCGCCCTCTCTGTCCTTGGTCCTTAACAGCTCACTAATCATTCATGAAGTGGTCCTCCAGCCCAAATAATTGCCCACTCCTGAGCCTGTAGGCTTTGTTACTTAGCATGGAGAAGTAGATGGGAAAGAGGGACTAAAGCCAGCAAAGTGATATAGTCAAATGGAGATGTATGAAAGATTAGGTTGGTGAGCTAATTTTTAATTAAAATTTGAAAGCTGGGATGCAAATATTGAATAGTGCTGTTTGGGAAATTGTGATTTAGTCAAAATCTCTAAAGCCCATGGCAATGGGTCACATAAATTTAATAAAGTATGGATAGCTGTCTTAGTCATGCTGACGTTTTGTTAGGAGACTTGGAAAGATCAGTGGATGGACAGATGGTTATAACAAGTCAGATGAAAGAAGAGGATGGCATTGGTTAGGATGCTAACCAAGGGAATCAGGATCAGGACAGATGTGGGAAATTTCACAGAGGTGAAGCGGGAAAGGTCTTGTTGATAAGAGAAAAGGACAATGCAATATCCAGAATAGTATGGGGCCTCATTCAGCATTGTATCACTCCGCTGTTACAAAGCAGTGTAAGAGTGGTGTAAGACTGGAGTTGATCAGTTGTGAATCAGGGACCCAAGATTTTTGGCCTTCTAAGTTAAACAAGTATTCTGGATTCTAATTTTTCACACAGTTTCTTGGAGGTACTTTATTCATAGAAAATTCTAGGGCTAAGTCTCGCTCTTAATTTCCTTCTGCTAGGTTCTGTATCTAGAGGTGGAACTGTTTCAGTGGCTGAACTTTGCCATCTTTATTTTACAGGCAATTTATGTATTTTCTTTCTCCCTCTCTCCTTCCTCTTGTGTTGGAGAGCTTGACTGTACAAAGGCACGTGTTCCCACTAAGCCCTTCTGTGTAGCACCTTGTACCTCCCCTACAATAGCAAAGCAGACTGAAAACACAAAAGGAAAAATGGAAAGGTCATTGAGGTAACATCCTCAGACTTTACTATTCCATTTCACAGCATATCAACTCTTGCTTTGCTGAGGGTGGGAGCTTGGAGCCAGACCAATCGAATGACATTTTAATGGTATAACTACTCTCTTTTGCCACATCTGCATAAGGGGAAGTCGCAACTTCTCAAAAACATGATGCATTAACAGCAGTTGTGCTTCTTCAACAAAGGACTTTAGTGATTGGAAAATTAGAGTGTCCTTTGGAGATATTTCAAGGCCACTACTACAGCCAAAAGTTTCCATCACAATTCATGTTTTGTTTACATATCATAGTGTTATTGCCAGAAAGTGGTAAAATATTTCCAAACCATGAAAATTTCTCATAATACTAAGAAGAAACTTAGGGTATAGTATTCTTGCTGCTACCATTTGATTTATGTACCAGTGGACTCAAATGTTAAGGCTTCTGTAATCATTTCTGTGCGAGCTAAAAATTCACAATTCCCTAATAGCAAGAGAAAAATTGCAGAAAATATCAATATAGCAAACATACTTGTCAGATGATCCTCAAAGAAATATTAGTCTTCTGCCAGGCAGAAATACTCCTTTCACTCCCACCAAACTAAGGTCACATCCTATTTCAGAGAATGATAAGTAACTGGAAACCGTTCACATCCTTCAAACCAAAAATTCAGAACGACACTCTCAGCAACCACATACTTATCTGTACAGCCAAATCGCTTGTTTTCCAAATGCCCAGTGTAATGTAACAGAGACCTCCAACTCCTGTTACTTAAAGGGAGAGAGGGCAGCGTTATATAGCTGCAGATAGCTGTAGATTTCTGACTGGGGCAGGGCAGCCAAAGGGAGCCAAGGACAGGAGCTACAGAGTTGCAGAGATGGCTGATACAAACTGTAGACAGCAGCAGAACTGAGGTGACTAGCAAAATTGAGGGAGAGTTGTAGTCTCCAAATGGACCCCTGCAACCCCTGTACCTGGTTAGGAGAGTTACAGAAGACACTCTGTTTCAAAAAGCCTTCCTTTGATCCCTCATGCAGTGAGGGTTCAGACTTTCACCCAGTTGGCCATTTTTGAAGTGGTCTGAAGCTGTGTACTTGTTTGGTCATATCTGTAGACCTCTTTCTGTGGCCAGATCAGGCAAAAATTGTCACTTCTGTCTGCACCCATGCCCCAAACATGTTACACCATTCAGTGTAGACAAATGAATGCTGGTGATGATTTATTGTTGTTGCTTCCTTGTCCATTCTTTATTCTATCCTGGTAATGGTAGACTCAGTAAAACATCAGATCATTGTGAAGAAACCATACACTTTTTGGAAAAAGGAAAAATATAGCCTTTTGATTTGGGAAAATAATTCTTAAGACTTTGTTCTATATTCATTTTACAGGCAAAGTGAGGGGAGGGGGAAGCATCAAGTACCTACACAGTTTAACAGCTGAATGAAGATTAAGTTTTGCATATAGAAACTCGTGTTTCCAGCTCAAGCTTTACCATTAAATGACTTCACATTTTCCATCCTTAGAGGCTTCATGAAGACATTAGTAAAGCTGCAATCCCAGGGGACACACCTGTGTACCTTTCTGGACAGCCTATTATAATAAATAAATAATCAATAATTATAATAAATAAATAATCATCCTGAATAGTTTCTTGCAAAGAGACAGATCTGTTTTTGACGATGCTCCTCTGAGTGCATGAAGTCTCGAGTAATAACAGAACCTGCCATCTGGGAGTGGTAATACATAAGGCAGTAGTTAAGATGACCCATAATGAGATTTCCAAAGATCCCAGCACTTGTATAATTGCAGCAAATCCATTCTCAGTGATACTGCTTTGCCTTTCACATTTTGAGCCTGCTAGCTGCCTACCATGAGTAAGTTTCAAAGTAAGAAGTTTTTGGTTGGGATCTGAAACTTCTGGCCAGATGTGATACAATTGTCAGGTTCCTCCTTTCAATGTGTATTTCAGTCATCAGACTAGTGGACCATCACTAAAAGCATATTCAGAGACACTCTGTTTTAACAACTGGAATCTCATAGAGATGATTGATATAAGATGGGGAGAAAATTATATTGTATTGCTTGAGAATTATGGGATCCAAGTGAAAGAAACGAGGGAGTTAAAACCATAACTCTACTTTTCTTGAGGGTGATGACCAGAGAAGTGCCAGACTCTTGGTACAGTCAGACAGCACTACAGCTTTGGCATGTCTGTACAAGTGAGGGCAGAGAACAGGACAATGCTGTAGTGATTCTACTCCCCCTTCTCCCATAGCATATATTTCCATAGCTTTGGAAGAGGTTTTCTGGCAGGTGAATGCAAGTGGCCCAGCTTATTGTTAGCAGTAATGCCATGCTGTCTCTCAGATCCACATGGATGAAGGAGCGGTATGTTGGTCACAGATTGGTGTATATGTTAATACTAGAGCAGAAGTCCAGGTACCACATTCTCTGGAGTTAAGAATGCCAGTGTGTTATTTTATTTTTGATAGTTGCATTTTACAATCTAGCCAAAGTTTGGCAGAAGCAAGCATTGATTGGAGAAATGAATTAAGGCAGAGATGTCTTCATAAGAGTTAAGCAAGAAAAACAATGGTGTTAAAGGAAAGAATTGTAATATTAAACTAACAAATATAATTGGAAGTCATTGCTGAATGGAAAGCTCTTGCAATATGCTTAATAGTTTCAGAAATTAATAAACAGGTTATGGCAAAACTACTGAGAACTGGGTGACTGGCTTTCTCAGTAAATCAAGGGACAAAAGAATAGGTAGTAACTGAAAAGTCCATTGCACTCTAACTGATTCAAAATCTGCAGGCTTTATTAATAATATAAGGGATAACTTATAGATTCATAGACATTAGGTCTGGAAGGGACCTCGCAAGATCGTTGGGTCCAGCCCCCTGCCCAAAGGGTAAGAAGTCAGCTGGGGTCAGATGACCTTAGCAAGGTGAGCATCCAGGCATTTCTTGAATGTATCCTAAGTAGGTGCTTGCACCACTTCTGGGGTGAGTCTATTCCAGACTTTGAACACTGGGATGGTAAAGAAGTTTTTCTTTATGTCCAGTCTAAAACGGTCTTCCAGCAGTTTGTGATGCTAGACCTTGTCTTTCCTTGGGGTGCCCTGGTAAACAGACGTTCTAGTTCCTGATGCACACCACTTATATACTATAGGCTGCCACCAAGTCCCCCCTGAGCCTTCTCTTCTCCAGGCTAAAGAGTCCCATGCCTCTCAGTCTCTTCTCATAAGGCCTACTCTCTTGACCTCTAATCGTGCATGTGGCTCTCCTCTGGACTCTCTTGAATGAAGGGTTACTTAAAGAGAGAAACTGACAGTGCAGAATTTGGTCTTAAACTTTGATTTTGTAAAAACAAGCCTTAGTTTTAATAATCACACTAGAAGTATGTTCATGAGGTTTTTTTGTAGTGCATTTTTCCTTAGAAAAAAAGAATGCATATTCACAGAGGCAGTACCTCAGATCCAGGTATTTTAACCTTAGGATCCTGAAAATGAAACCTTAAATTAACAAACATTAAACAAACTTAATTTGTCATTCCCAATTTGAGTGAAACATAGAAAATAAAAAACAAATGATGGAATGTAACTTGGCTTTTTAAACTTATTTTATTAATCTTAGGTACTACTAATATGAATTGGATGGACACTATCAACTTAATCTTATGGTGATATTTCTTAGTCTTTTGGTTATACTTTAATTCCATTGCTAGCATTTTTGTTTGCAGAGTCAGAATGATGTGACTTCACAAAACCAACTCATATTTTTGTGTTTCTGTCTGCTTTATTAGGAGTACATGGTTTATAGGAAACATACCTATATGCGGCTGGATGGTTCTTCAAAGATCTCTGAGAGGAGAGACATGGTAGCTGACTTTCAGAACAGGTAACCTGTGTATAAAAGCACTGAGTTAAGCCCTTTAGAGATGTTAAGACAACTTATTTTTCAAAAAAACCTTAAATGTAAAATAGACAATTAACATATGATATTTGAGAGAGGGATTTAAAGGGTGTCATTCTGATTAACCACTGAAGTTGAGTTCACATCATTTTAGATCCATAATTTTAATTTATTTTTTTGTTTTTTATTTGAAGTTAACACAGTTTATCTAAAGGGTTTGTTGAACATATAAAACATTTAGATATTTGTTGTTTCATTAACTGGGATTTCCATTCTTGTGGAATTTAGAAACTTATCCTTCTGTGACAGTGTAGCATAAAGCAACTTTAGTGGACCAGAAAATCTTATTCTTACTGTCTTGAATATTTTATATTCTATAGATTGTCCCAGAGGTAATAAAGTGGTGGTACGTTGACTGTAGTATGTTCTAGGAAGTAATACTGAGGATTACATTGAAATGTCATGGATATACTAAGCCTTTTGAAACTAGGACCCCCATTTCCCATGAAATTAAACAATGGTCTGTTCAGTGCTGTGTGTTTCATAGAACAGCTAAAGAAATAAACTATTATGTGTAATGTAGTGGGATCTACTAAAACCTTGACGTTAAACTATAGCAATTGAATTTATATAATAAGCTGTATTGATCAATCCAGTTTACTGAAGTAAAGCTTCTAAATAAGTGCCTGTAAGTTAGCTGTATACTATAACAAGGGAAGGGGGTCTGCATAATCTTATAGGATTCCCTGTTGTGACACAACTTAATCTCCATTGATGCATGTCATAAATAGTGGCTATATATTAGGCCTGTGTGAAGTGGCAAGTATTCGATTCAGACTTGGCCAATTTGGAGGGACAGTGATTCAATTCAGTTATTTGAATCACTGTCCTGATTTGATTCAGCCGAATTGGATCCAAAGATTTGGCACCGCTTCAGAGATTCGGCCGTAGACTAAACAGGCAGCAGTAATCAACGATGGACACAGGGCTGCGCTGGGCAGAAGGCATTGGGAGCAGGGGCTATGCCTCCACCCCCACTGCTAGCCCAGCCAGCGTGGGGCCGGTGCAAGTCTGAAAAGCAGTGCACAGCGGCAGGAGCCGGCCCAGCCTCCCCACACCTCACGAAGTGGCTTCACCCCAGCTGGGCGAGCAACAGCAGGGCATGGGAGGGGCACGTGCCTCCTGAAAACTTGCTGCAGCCCTCTATAGCCTCTGCTCCGCTGCCTGCCCTGCCCCGATCCAGAGGCACGCGCCCTTCCCCCTGCATGCTCTACCGCTGCTCGCCCAGCCAGGGCAAAGCCACTGCTTGTCTGGGAGTTGCGGGGAGTCTGGGCCAGCTCATGCCACTGTGCGCTGCTTGTCTGGAGGCAGCACAGTGGCTCAGTCTCGCACTGGCCCTGCACTGGCTGAGTGAGCGGCGGGGGGACATAGCCCCTGCTCCCAGCACCTTCTGCCTTGCACACGCCCATGCCCTCCCGGACCGGTGGCAGGAGCAGTGGCAAGAGCTGCTGGACAAGCTGCCACACAAGCAGCTCCCAGACCAGTGGCGTGCAGCAGCATGAGCTGCCCCAACCCCCTCCCTGAATAGTGCTTGCCCCAGCCTGGGTCCCAGCCCCAATCTCTCCCTTGCTGTGGGGGCATTGATTTGCCTCCCCCCATGCTCCTTCCCTCCTCCCTCCATCCACCACAATAGACCTACCAACTGGAGGCAGCTGTGTCCAGCATGGTGAGGACTGTTGCCTGTTTAGTGTATGGCCAAATCTTTTCCGAATTGATTTGGAGGCTTCCTGTTCAATTTGGACCTTTTAATGGGTCTTCCAATTTGATTTGGATTCGGAGATTCAGCTGCCAAATTCGGCCGCATCACCTCCAAATCAAATCGGCTACCAAAGCTTCGCTCAGCCTTACCGTATATATGGTTACTAAAATTCTCTTGGATGGGACACAGTATATAACTTGATAAGATGTTTCTATAACATGTAGTATGTGGTCTGAGATGATATGATACCTTACTAAAATGAACCTTCTGAATGAATTCTGACAGTCATTAAGAGCAAGGTCACTGTTTTATCACAGTGGTAAGATTCATAGATTATGGTTGTTCCACCATTATCAAGAGAGGAAAAAAAGAGACAGAAAAAAAGAATGATCTGGGTTGGCCTCAGAGTAGAATCATAGTTCTGAAGGTAGATTAGAATCCACGTGTGAACCCTGGAAGTCTGAAAATCAAATCAAGCACTGATGCCATTGAGGCAAAAAGCTTTAAAGAGGTTGTGTGCCATGTAGACATTTTATTAAGTAGGCCCCTCTAATAAGCACTGTTTGGAAAGGGATAGATGTGTGCAAATCAGAACCGCAGTGAAGTAGGGCTTAAAGGGAACTTTAAACATTTAAAGCAAGTGAAATGACTGTGCACTGCCCTAATCTTTGATTGGGTCCATTTTCAAAAACTAGATTTTTAAATGATTATGATCTCTTCCCCACTAGTATTCTAGCATTTGTTCCTGTAAGAAGTTTTAACCAAGAATGCCTACCAAATTATATTTTATTAATGAATAGAACAACTAAAGAAAAATAAGCACTTCAGCTGGAAGTCCCTTTGATATAAAGGTTGGCCAGTCTAAACAAGAATTCCTATAAAGGTATTTAAATTCCTCTTGTGCTATGTTTGTTTATGAAGAATACTTCCAGGAAAAAGTCTGACTGAAACTACAGACAGTTCTGCACGATGTCCTGGCAGGACTCATGGCTGTAGAATTATAATCTCTTCATAAATTTTGAGGAAAAATCCTCCTTCCCCTCCCTGTGTCATTTTTCACCTTTGAAAGCTGTTGATCCTCCTTCTAATGATTGTTCATATCAGAGGTGGACAAAATCTGGCCCGCCAAGGGATTTTATCTGGCTTGTGGTGGGTCCCTTGGCCCTCCCCAGTCCAGGCATGGGGGGCAGCCCAGGCCATGGCATGTACAGCCTGTCCCGCTGCACCCAGGCATGCAGCAGGGCTAGGGCAGTACTTCCTGACAGGGCTGGGGACTCCACTTCCCAACAGCCCTGGCAGTGGCTCTTTCAAGGTGCCACAACTAGTTTCACTGCTGCCACAGGACCCAGCCCTCCTGCCCGGGCACCCTAGCCTGTCTGCCCTGCACTCAGTGCCTGGGGGTGCTGGACAGAGCAGACAGGCGTGGTCTAAAATAGAGACCAGATGGGACCCTTAGAGGCAGGGCATGCTTGGCTGGGTGTATGGGATGGGGCTGAGGGTGGTTTTTAGGAGTTTCGGTGAGCTGTGGGGTTCATTGGAGTTCTGACCTAGCCTGCTACAGCCTGTGGTGCATTGGAGTTCTGACCTTCATAGATTCATAGATGCTAGGGTCGGAAGGGACCTCGATAGATCATCGAGTCCGACCCCCTGCATAGGCAGGAAAGAG